TTTAAGTAAATAAAAGAGCACTTTAGATTCGGTCGTTTAATACATAATAGCTGTTGTGTGTCAGGATATTTTTAGAAAGCGAGGTTTTGTTTGTATACGAAATGCTCAAAAGATTAAAGATCGACTTTTTGAAATGAAAACCATTGGGAGTCCTGATTGGACGAACAGATCATGAATAATTGATGAGATTGACGATAAGGTTAAAATGTATATCGTTAACAAGAAATATTATCGTTTATAGCATTAGTTATTGCATGATAAATCAATTAGTTGAATTTTGAATCAATTTTGTGGGAATTACAAAAATAAACGCAGATCTTTTGGCTCTGGAAGTAAGAGACAAAGTGTAGGCACAATGTATTCAAGCATAAAAAGCTACATAATATTCTTTTAAGATGAATATCTTATTTTTTTATAACTTTTCATAAAGAATATAACACTAAAATCGGAGCTTAATAACTGGCAATACTCATGACTGGAATTGAATGTTTAAAAAAAACCGTGTTGTGATCTGATTGGCCTACAGGAGTACATTTATCTTTGAAAGTAATAATTTCAAACCTATATTTATAAAAGGTCAGTATTTTGATTTTTATCGAGAAAAAATCCATTTGGTAGAATTATACAGATGTCGTTTTTTTTTACTGAAGATAAAGATGTGCAAGCTTTGTACGGGAAATTTTGGAATAAAAGCGATTTACAATGAATGAAAACTGTCTTAAAATTCATTTGCTATTATGGATTAGCAATGCCGCTTTTGGTACAGTGTAAAAAGGTTTTGTCTTAGCAAGCTATATCACAAAGAAAGTGAAAAACACTAAGTGAACAATATAGATATAATAAATRCTGCTAAATTATGCTAATTGTATTGTTTATTATTGTTCGCAGCACTAGTGCAAAATATCGTCCAGTATTGTTGTGAATTTACTCTGCTAAATTTCATTACAAATCATGCTGTTCCCTATATTATGAATCAAAGAAAAACATGTCGAGAATAATAGAAAAAAAAAGCTAAATTAACTCTCGTAAATTGTGGCACGCACTGATCGGATTACCTTGAGATCTTAATGTATTTTAGAAATCGTTAAAACATTTTCACCTCTTTTTCTCCTTTTCTTGTCTYTTTAATCGCCTTACCAGTCTGTGATCCWAAACACACGCGATTGTATATTGTAGTTGCACTCGTTATCCATATAAATCCTGTTATTTCTTCGTCAATCGGCTTACTGTAGTTAACTCAAGCTTTGTAATACAATAATGCAGGTATTTGTATGGGGATCGCAGTYTTAACTCGATCTGACCACTTATAGTGTGAACTACTTTGAAGGGGCATTTGTCTTACTGGCTAATAGCCTCTTTTACCGCCATGACAAGGCTTTCTGATTGGCTACCGATGACATCATGAGGAAATAAATGTTCTATGTTATACTTGAACGATAATTGATCTCCAAATTTACTCGAGTGTTATTAGTATAATCCGTTGATGGGATTTCTATGCTGTAGATGGTTTATTAGGTTGTGTATTGCAATATTTCGCGAATATTATAGCGYTAGCTTATGGAGTTTGCTGCACGTGTACCGGAAGAAAACCATGAATAAAGACTGCCCGTGTATTTGGCTCATCAAATGCTACGAACAGTATCACTGACTTATGTTGACCTATATCCGCTGATGGAAAAATATAGTGAAAGCCACATGCTTGAGTTTGGTATTGAATATTAACCTCTAGTCTTAAAGAATTGGAAAAATATGCATGAGTAAAGAAGGGCCGTGTATTCGCCGCAATGAAAGCTGCTACAATATCATCAACTTACGTTAACTATTTTCTGYKAGAAAAAAATTAGTACRCGTAACAAATGCTTCATTTTTTAAGCTAGCACATTTATTCCTAAGGTACTCAAAAATTAAAGAAATTTATGAGTAAAGAAAGACCGTGTATATATCGCATTGAAAGCGGCTAATAGCATCATCAACTTACATTAACTTATATTTTCTGCTAGAAAAAATTTAGTACGAAACAAAGCCTTTTTTTATCAAGTGCATTTATTCCAAGGTACTCAAGAAATAAAGAAATTCCTGAGTAAAGAAGGCGTATTTGACTCATTCAAAGCTACGCCCAGTATCTTCAACTTAATTTAACTTGATATTCGCTGATGGGAAAATCTTGTAAGAATCACATGGTAAATTGCTTACAGAACGATTTAAAGTTATGACCGTATAGCTGCATTTTGCTGCGGTAGCTGAGCAAAGCTTAAACCAAAACGTCTCTTGATTCGCATTGATAAAACTGACAAAAACAGCAGAAGGTTTTCCGGTAAAATGCTGTTTTAATATCGAATGCATTCATCTTATCTGGGAAACACTTTTGAAGAAATTACACAAAGTTTCATTAATCAAATTAGAGAAAGCAATTGATTTTCTACTGGTTTTACCATTTTTTTGACAAGCTATTTCATATAAGAAATAACGTTTGACGAGCCGGTATCCATATTTATGAAAATAAGTTCCTACCACTTTGAATAATGTTTTAATCCTACGTGCTTAAACCTTTTTTACATAAACTATTTCATGGATATATTGCTGTAAAGATAAGCCAATGTTCAACATATAATATCATTTTAACTCAACTTACATCAAACGCACTGCATAAAAAACAGTGTAAGATTTTCTGAAATATCGTCACGATAATGGATATGCATTCGATATTTCCTTGGAATAATAGTTTTACTAAAATTTCAATATAAAATCTCTTATATTGAATTGCAAGGAAATGAATAAATGAATGATTGAATAAATAAATGGTGCCGAAGCAATCAAAACATTTGGCGCCATTAACCCGGGTAAAATATTGTGCTTTCATTATTTCCGCTCATTTTTCTCTCATTTTTCATACTTTTAGCCATTATATACAGTCAACCTCAGTTGTGCAGTTGAAAAGACAAACAGAACACTATAATTATTAATATTAATTTGCATACAACTGCTTTTAAAATTTTCGATAAGAAATCTCACTTTAAAGCTCTATGTAAATAACAAATGAAATGCTTTCTTTATTACTTTTTTTGCAGCTTTATTTGGAATACTATTTCAAAAACTTAAGTTTGTATTCCGTCAGTCAATGAATTGTCCGAATAAAGAAGTTTTTTTATCAATATTTTGTTGTTGTGACGCAAGCTAAATWTGTACGTGCTTTGGTTTATCAAAACACACGAATACTGCATGGATACTACATATCAAACTATTGTTAGATGGTTTGTTTAGATTTCTTGTAAGGGCGATTTACTTCAATTTTAATAAACAATTAATCGTAAACATTATGGCTGCCTTGATCCGGATATTTTACAAACCTAGTCTTATTCGTGTGCCCACGAAAACGTTTGAAAATGCGTTAAAAAAAGCAAAATTTAACGATGCAGTCGTTGTTTTCGTATAAACGGTAGACCTAAACGTGCGGGRATTAAAATGCGATTTCGAAACTTGTGCTATAATAACTCTATAGGGACCGATAATACTCAGAAGAAAGTATTATCATGCGCTCTTTCTGTTTTTCATTTCTTGTTTCTTTACTAAAAATTGATCTGAATAGAGTTTTCTTACTTTATAATCAATCGAAACCCTTTTATTTTAATTATTTTTTGCTCGTACGTATAGAGCTCATCCAAATATGACGCGCAAGTGCGTCAACTAAACTACGTAAAAGGCGGTAAGATCGATGACTTCGGGTCTCCCATTGTCTTGTTTTGATAATATAGAAGAGGAAATGTATCTATAAACAATTAACGTATCGTAACAACGTATCGTAACACATTTCCGTAAGGCTTAGCTACTCTGATGCGTTTTTCTAGCGTTTCGTATTCTGCGTCCTCACTGTAATTAACTGCGCTACGTAAAGGTTACGGAAACGCTACGGAAACGCATCAGTTTGGGCGTGACCATAGTTATAATATATACAATTGTGTAACTGTTGATATGTATTCTAAATGCAAGTCAACTTAAAAAAGAAAAGAAACGAATTTCAGTTCCTATCATCTCATTATCTTATTTCTATTCCTTGTGGCAGTGAAATCGTAATAGATTCGTTCTCTAAAAAGGGCTCCAGTGCAGACGTTTAAGTGGTGTCTCCAGTAACTAGCTAACGTCTGCACAAGACACTACCTCTGAAGTCGACGTACCATTTTTCATTCGCTAGAATCTTTAAAAATCTCAATAAATCTAAAAAAAAATTGGTCTTTAACCTTCGTCGTAGGAGACTAATGGCCCTGCCGATACAGACCGTTTGTGGAGTCTCAAGCAATAAGCGTCTGCACAAGAGGCTACCTCTGGAATCGATGTATTTCATTTTTTTTTTCGTTCATTAGAGTCTTGAAAAATCTCTATTAAAATTTAATAAAATTTCGGTCTTTAACCTTCGCCGCAGTAGAAGTAATGGCCCCGGTACAGACGTCTGTGGAATCTCACGTACCTAACGTCTTYACAAGAGAGYACCTYTGGAGCCCAATTGACGACATTTTTGAATCTTGACAAATTTATGAATTTTGTATTCTGAACTCAATTGGAACTACAATTCCTCTAAGATATACCCGTTGTATTCACTTTTTTGCGAAATTGCTATTAATTTTCAGATTTCTAAATATTCTAACTAGAATTTTAAGATTCTAGAGTGTATTCTGGGCACATAACGTATTGCTTACATTTTTATTTGATAAAATAGTAACGATAAAAAAAACTTTAAAAGGGATTTTTKCATCCGTTAATGATAGGAGTTGAAGCGATTAACCTTATGCTAAATTTGAGACCAATTTTTCACTGCACAGAAGAAATTCGATGGGCTTATCTTRACGTGCATTAACGATYTAGAATAACCAAAACACTCGTTCATACTMCTGCGTTCTCGTTCTGTTTTTGTACTTCTTTGTGTCTTTAAGTGGGTCAAAAACAACAAAGACAAAAACGCTACGAGGGCGCATTTATGTGATTGAACATAGCATTAAATCTAATACCTTTACTGCTACAAACCGTTCTCGACTCATTTGCTCGTGTCGTCTTGCTCGGCTTCGGTCAAAAGGTKGTYCTATCGACTAGACTGTGATACAGCTAGTTCTTCTTTGCTAGTTTACTTATAAAACATGCTTTACTAAAAAGGTCTAATGATATAAGTATGTTGATATCGGGTGTGTTATCGAGAATCCAGGTGTGTTCTGTACAATATATCAATAGAAATGGCGTCGTTGTGGGTACATTATATCTAATCTCGAGGGTCACATAAGTATTTTTTGAAAAAAAAAATGAAGGGTTATGGCATTATTGAGTAATTGGTGTGCAATCAATCAATATAACAGACCAAGTATGCTGGGGGTATAACCTTCAATATACCCATCCAGGGTGAGTACGGCGATCCTATAGTAGGTATATTAACCGGAGTTAAAGATCGGSCTCGTGGGCAACTAACCTCGAAAAGGCCATTAACATACTAACCTTATCTATAGAAAATAAATGGATTAATGTGAAGGAATACAGATTAAGGACAGGCAGGCGGGAATATTCGAACAAAATAAGCAAATTAATGAGAATAAAAGAATAGATTTGATAATTAAATGGCTGAATGAATTAATCACAAGCCCTGGGGCCATCTAGGGTGTATGGCACTGTTCAAATCATTACCCAGCGGATGAAATCTATACAAAMCCCTAGGRTAGATAAYGTCATGATCCTRCCCTTCCCATGACAACCTGGAGGCCCGTTTACACTTGCGATTTTTGCAGCGCGATAATCGCCACTTTGCTGTCGCGCAACTCAAATCGTAAACAGCCATGCCATTGATGCGACAATGGTARATCGCCGCRAAGTTGCAGCAAATTTTCAAGCACGTTCGAAACTCCTGGAGGCGATGGTCAAACGAAGATCTCCGCGAGAATCGTTCTGCAAAAATCGCAAGTGTAAACGGGCCTTAAGACCATAACATTATTGGATCCTCAATCAAATTCTTAGACAAACGGTCTCCAAGCATATGAAATAAGATTACAACATAACTTTTTTAATCGTGATTGATGCCATTGAACAAGGTGGCCAAACAGCAAAGGTTGGTTCGATCAGCATATAGTTCCCTGGTGTTGGCAGATCAAGAAATCCTTGTCGGGGGTAAATGAAGTGATGGATGGTTTATTTGTTTATTGAAAAAATGAATAGGTTATTAACGACTGAAATTACTATCCCTGCGAGGTTTGTTTTTTATTAGCTCAGTGGTAGAGCTATGCCGGTCGTTTGTAATTCACTTTTTGGTCTAAAACTGAAAGACATACTCTTATTATATTATATTTTCGTCTGAATTTTTTTCTTTTTTCTTTTCTTCTTTCTTTTTTTTTTCAAGTTAAAAGTTAACTTTTAGTTAACTCATTTGACTTAAAATAGTGACTTAAAATATATATTCCTTTTCGCTGAAGTATTTTTTAGATAAAAGTTAACTTTTAGTTTATTCATTTGATTTAAAATAGTGGGAAATATATATTTCACTTTTGTTGGAGTTTTTTTTAGCAAAAAATTGAATTTTAGTGAATTTAGTTGACTTGACAGTGCTACTCTTTTTTCTTTTACAGTTTACTAATTGGAATGGATCAGTACATATAATAGATAAGTGAAGCTGAATTCGGTGTTCTTTACTCGACGTGGAACCAAAACACCCATCCATACTACTGCGTTCTCGTCTTTTTTTCTCAACTTCTTTTTGTACAAAAATGCTACGAGAGCGCTTAGATGTGAACGTGTACAGAATAAATAAGTGAATGATTAAACAAATGAATGTGGGATTGGAGAAATAAATAAATTAATTACATGATTTTCTATAGCATGAAATTACATGATTCTAAATGATTAATAGTTTAAATAACCGATGGATTGATCATGGTTTAAGAAATGAAAAATACATGAATTTGCGACTGATTGAGTAAACTAAAGATAAAATAAACGGATTTTTTCAGTTTTTCTCATAACATAAAACGGCGGAAGSACCTTTTCCGTAACTCCGGCTCGTTGTCTCATCCTATAAGGACTACGCACTCATATRAAGAGGGCTTAGTATTGAAATAGTATTTTTGAAAATGATACTTCTTTATTTTAGGCACATCAGACTTGATCCGTTGTCTGGAAATAACCCAAAGTCTGTTGGAAAATAGCCGTCTTTTTCTTAACTTACAAGTGACCCTAATAGGATAATTATTGTTTATCCGGGTTCACTGTAAAAACACACTACTTTGCCTCTTATAATAGAACTTTGACTTGATGTTATGAAAAGCTTGAGTAACGTAGACAAGTAGGGTTTGGATTTAGATGATAAACCCTTGATTCTTGTTAGGTTAAGCCTGGATGAACACGCAAGAGTTTTTAATATTTTTTAGTATTAGGTCAGGATGATTACTATTGGTCGATTTTGTTATTTTTATCGCTATGTTCACAGCTGGTACTTAAGGAATATTTTTTTAGTCTTTTGTGCGTAATGTACTTACTTTATATATTATTGTATAAACTCATTTGAGAAAACCAATACCGAAGTGCACTATTGGTCGCAGTGACCGCCTTAAAAATGTTTTAGAAGAATAATAGATCAATCCCACATTCGCTCTGAACAGTGGCTTCATTTCGAGGCTGGAGTTTTCGACAAAAGATAAAATGAAGCCATTGTTYCGTATTCATCCAGGCGAATTAGGGATTGGTCTTTTGCAAAAAACTACGGTCAAATTTGACGAAAGTGGCTTAATACTAATTATGTTTCATTAAAACGCGCGGTATTTTTGTTTAATTGTGCTCGAGCGATGGAATTTCCCATACTTAWACCATGATGCATTGCGAATGGGCGTCAACAAGACCGCCATGTTTGTACTGCAAACACACCAACAGCGCACGGCGACTGAGAAGCAAAATATGTTGTCTAAGGGTTCGCTCTCTTATCAAAGTATGATGACGCAAGCTGTAAAGGGCTGTACTCGTCGAAGGCTTACAAGAACCTTTCAAGAACTGCGCAAATTCGCCGCGCGTTCGCTAGCACGTCAGGAAACAGTGAAAACTTCGACAAGGACAACCACAAAAAAAATTGTGGACTCAAGAACTAAACAAAGCAAGACAGTTTACAACGACAACTTGCTCAAGAAAATTTGCAACAAGTTAAACGCCGACCAATTAAACGTACTAGCCACAAAAGACTGTCAACAATCGACTTGAGAACAACAGGCGCATTAATCCTAAAAGGTCGTATTCTGCAAATGATGGAATATAAACTTACTTTAAGAGGATCTTCTGATCAGCTATCATCACCTCAAGCGCTTTAATACTAGTTCTGATGAAGTAATGAGTTTTATATGCCAAAGTTGCTCAATGAATTTCAATGATAAAATCTATTGAACGAATGTGAGGCGTCTTCCGTTGTAGAAATTTCAAGTGGATTAGTGATTTTCACGTCATGTTACAAGTTTCTTTGACACGTAGCGCGTTAAAATCATTGATATTGTGTCTGATAGGAACTTAATGGTGTGAATTTGTAAAAGAATTTTCATGCAATTATCCTCTGCAAGGCAAGCGCATGCGATACAAAACAGATACATATTTCTTTCCCAATAGCAATCTACTTTGCAAAGTTSACGGACAGTGTTTTATTTGTATGTTACTAATGTTTTATTTACTATGTTACTAACCCTTCTTGCTTGCGATTATGCTTATTTTTATTTCTTATGCTTATGTTAATGTCTTATGTCGTACACTTCACCTCATTCTTTTGTCGCTACTTTTCTTATGCGTGGTCTCATCTTTTTGCTTATGCTTATAGTTGTGCTTATGTTTATGTTGTTTATGTCGTTGCCATACGTTTGACTAATTCATTTGTGGTGGGAACTAGCGGTAAACTAGTGTGAGMTGCGTCGGTGTTTCTAAAGAAAMAGTTGTGTAAAAAGATAAATTGAACACCGTAACAAAAGTATGTGAAATAAGTAAAGAGAGCTCTCTTTACTCCGACGAAGGATTAACGTYCGAAACGTCAGTAAGTTATTATCATRTATATATTTTTAACAATTGTGACAAAAAGAGGAGATGAAACAACTATTCCTCCTACGTTTTTCAATGCGTAAGAAAGGATTAGCACTCTAAGAGTCTCATTATCATTGCTTTCTTCACGGCGTAAAAGTAAGATTTTTAGTCAAGATTCTTCTAAACGCCGACATAATCTTATTAGTTCAGATGCTAATTTAATACTGCATGTCTGATGACCGTGTTTGATGTTCACCCTCCGTGTAGGTGGTCAAGGAATACCCGAAGAATTATATCTTACGATACGAGCGAGATAAGACTGCTAATGGTGACGTCATTGTCAAGATGACGTATGGATATGTTCGGCTTTTTTAGTTTTGCAGGAATTCAAATCCAGCGCGTTTTTTTTTTCTTTTTATTTTTTGTCACTTGCTTTGTTTTGTTTTTTCTATTTATTTTTAGTGTTATTTATCTTTTTTTTTATTATAATGTTAAATGTATTTCTTTAATATTTTATGCACATAACTTTTTCGCTAAATATGGCATCTTGCGAAAATATCTCCACAAAGATAAAAATTTTCTGGTAGGCTAGTAAAACGAATTTAAATATTATATTACAAAATGATATAAATTTACAAAATTTACCTTAAGAGCTAATGTAAATTCACCTTTTCAGTTGTTAGCTTTGTCTTGTTTTGAATTGTCTCATTTACTATTATTCGACACTCAATTCAAGCTCTCACTTGAACACTTTTAT